CCCCGCCCCCAGGGCAGTGCTACTGACTGAAGTGTCTTTATACCATTCCCAAAAGGGGGATATTAACATGGTCTTATGAACAGTAGAATAATGGGCTGATTTATCAATGTCATGCTCATACTATGCCGGAATAACATAGGGGGAACTGCTGCTTTTTCTTTCCTCATCCTTACTATCGTCATTTTCTACTTCTTTTGTATGTTTGTCACTCTCTTGTAAACTGCTATTTCTGGGATGCCTTGATAGCCGAAGTTGACTTTGTGCTGTTGAGGCTAGAGATGTGAGCAGAGGAAGCCTGATTCCCCGTTTCGACTTCTCTGTTGACATCCACCCTTTCACGCTCATATGGCCTATGCAGTTGCGAGAGCCGTAAAACCTTACTAAAACTAACAGAACTACTCGAGTGGTTTGTAAGTGCGTGCTCTGGTGTGGTTTGCTCCTGCTTTCCTATCAAACAGCTATCGTTCTTACTCCCCCACCCTACCCTTATTTTATTTGTATGCTGCTCTCTGATAAAACCTCTAAATTGGGAAATTATACGACTATTTCTTGTTCAAATGCGTGCATAAAGCTTTTAGAGTGAGGGTTGGCGGGTGCTCTGGTGTGAATTGCACCTTCTTTCCTATCAAACAACTTTCGTCCTGATCTTTCCTCCTTTTTTATGTTTGTTGCTCTCTTGTAACACACCTTATATTCGGCACTTATAAGACCTTATTGTGTTGCAGTGCCGTAAAACTCTTACTAAAACTTTAGCTCTTACTGAAATATAACTCCGAGATAGACATTCTGGTATTCAGACAACCCTCGAAGACATTCTGTTTTTGGACACTAAATTTAAAAAATGAAGCTTAACATACACACACGTGCAAACACACACCTTCAAACACAAATACACATACACACACGCTCAAGCACACACACAAATGCAAACATACACACACACACAAACACACACACACTCTCTCTCTCTCTCACTCTCTGTCTGTCTGTCTCTCTCTCTCTCTCTCTCTCTCACACACACACACACACACACACACACACACACACACACACACCTTGTCCTTGTTGTGGTCTTGCACAGATGTGCTCTGTGCGTTGTTCCTAAGGAAGTCGCTGAAGCTAGTGGCTAACC